AATATGCCTTTGCAATTGTTTATGTTGATTTGGAAAGCCCTTATCAAAAACATGCACATCTCTGTTGCCACATCTTACATCTGATAACAAATACTTCACTGCAGAGGTCGCCTTTTGTTTATCCACTGCCCTCGCTCCTTCCCCAAGATGCACTTGACATCTCCCCCAGCCTCATGCCTTTTGCTGTCCACAGGGGAGACATCCTCCTAGCATTTTCCTTGTTTAACTTTCATTTTTCTTTTGAGTTCATATCTATAAATTGTACCTTTTCTCCCAATCTGGTTCACTTCCATGATTTTTCAACCTTCCATATTGTGTCTTTTAAACAAAAATCTGAAAATTTGAACTTGAATGGTTCTTCCCCTACTAAGGAATCTGATTAGTCCCAAATCAGTCCTTTCACACACAGATTTCTCTCTTTAAATTCAGCTCTCTCTCTTAAGTAAAAACCAAATCCAGATCCTCTCTCTTCGGAGATTTCTAAGATCTAGTTCCCGCCTGTGTTCTCATGGGGTAACAACAGAGACAGCTCTAGATTTGGGTTAAAAGGTTCCCAAAGAAGTTCCTCCACTTAACAAGCTATAAAACCTTGGGAACCTCTTAATTCTCTGAGGCTCATTTTTCTCGTCTGTAAAGTAGGATAATAATCATCTACCATCTTGCGTGATTCTTGTGAAGATTTTGTGGAGTACTGTTTGCAAAATCACGTTCACAATTCTATATGTATTACATCTTTAGCCGAAGCTCCGCTCACCCTGATTTTGTGTCTGTGTTTTTCTTTCAGTCCTTCAACATTGTCTTTGAAAATTCTCTTTTTCTTTTGGCTCCTTATTTTTCTTGGTTTGGGTTCTCTGTCCCTTTGCTCTTTTTAATTAATTAATCAATTAATCATTCATCCATTCTATCATATTTGGGTGAAAATGTTGACATCCTGACAGCTGAAGCCTGACTTGTTGGAGGCAGGGAGACAATTCTGGGGTAAGGTGACTCCCTGAGGATGCGGTTTTCTAGGAGTCGAGACAACCCAAGAAGTACTAATTGTTGATTTGGAATTGAACAGGTATTAGGAGGAAGAGGAGAGGAGAAAAGTGAGGAAAGGGAGAGTGGGAGGGGGAAAGCATCCAGCAAGATGGTGTGAGGAATGGGGGACTACCAGGGATGCACTGAGCAGTGAACGAAATCCCCCGGGGGGAGGGAGTGGGAAGCAGTGGAATAAGAATATACGTGTAAAACTCTATTGCAGGTTGTCTGGTTACTGTGATGTAAACACTCTACTGAAATCTTTGGAGTAGGCTTTTGGGGAAATCCTGGAAAAGGGCTGAGTCCTAACTCCAGATCAGGATGGTGGGACACAGGTACAGCAATTAATGAACAAATTTATTGGAAATCAGGGGTGACCATGATAATGTAACCCTCCTGGAGATCCACAGACATTGTGGGGAGGCCTGTGAACACCCACAAGGGGGAGGATCGGGGTTTGATCATATCTGACCTATTCGAAGGGAATGGTGACTCCAGCTGACACCTAGACATTCATATTAAAACACAATCCGTGTACCAAATGCCAGGCCTATCCTCCTTGGATTAGGTTTCATCTGAAGAGTGCCATCACAGGGGGAACCTGATAAATGTTTGATGAATAAACCAATTTTAGTTTTTCCTGCCATTAATGCATCTTCTTTCGTTCCTACCTTACCCCACTCTTTCTGCGAGTGGTACCTCAGAACTAGCTATTTTTAAGTATTCTCTGCATCCTTTTGTCTCAGGAAGAACTTATTTTCCCCAGTTTTCTCCCTGTACCTCTTGTTTTCTCCCACCAACTTCATGTTTACCTTTTTCTTTCCTTCAACCTGAAGGCCACCTTCACTGTCTACCTCCCCTGCTTTCTCAAATTTCCCAGCAGTCATTTCCGTGGGCGTTACTGGCTCAGCTCTGTGTGTGTGTGTTGTTTTGTTTTGTTTTTGGTTTCTGGCTCTAGTGGCTGGCATAGCAATGCTGGTCTCCCTTTTACGGTGAAAGATTCTTGGATGGTTTACATAAATACTCCCTTTTGCTCTCCAATATTTATAAAATTTAGTTTGCAGAGAGAGAGAGAGACAAAGACAGAGATAGAGTGTGCACATGAGTGTTTACCTCTCGCTCGCATACTGAAGTGCTTCTGTGATGTTTGGGGTTTGCTCTAAAATAATCCAGGAGAGAGGAAAAAGAGCAAGTGGGGGACTGGATGCCACAGATAAAACAAAATCAGCCACATTCTTGAGGTTCTGTGTTGAGCACCTGAAGGTTCAGTATAATATTCACTTTACTTTTGTGGATGTTTTTAACTTTCCATAAAAAGCTTAATTAAAATCTGTTTATTAAAGATCTGCATGTGGGTAATTGATCTCCACAGGCGACACATTTTTTTCTAGTCTCTACATGACCCTCTTCCTCAGCATATTTCCCACCCCTCACCAAGTCATTTCTGAACTTTCTTTTCTTAATGACTTGTTGGCTTGCCATTACTCTTTGGTCTAAGAGCTCCTGGTAGGCAGGAAAACAGTGTCTTCCTCATCTTTGTGTCCCAGTGCCTAGCACAGAGTCTCTTGAACTGAAATGAAATGAGCTAAAGAAGAGGATCTGCCAGCGAATCCAGAGCCATGCCCTTACTGACACCCCCTCTCCCAATGCCATGGCTTTTCTGAACACATTGTAGGTGGCTTCTCAACTGAGTTGGAGCCACAGCATATCCATGCAGGGCTTCTTCCTCAGGAGAGAGAGGGAACCCCTTCTGTTTTCTACACCTGTGGTTACATCACCAGGAAGTTCTCTTATTGGCCTATTCCTTTTTCTTCTGATACATTCTCCAAGATAATTCCAATTTCCTTTCATATATGAAGTTCACATCCAACTTCTTACTTTCTATGGTGATTTAAATGGCTAAAATTGTGGACCTAAATTAGTGCTGGGGTCCTCACTGCACAGGCTCCCATCAAGCAGCCTCTCTTCCCCTATAATACGTCTTCCATCTCTAGACAGTGAGAATGATGATTTCTTCTCTTCTTACTTGCTTTGGGTGGTTGGCCTTGTCTTAGTCTCAGGAAAGTCGGATGTAGCAGTGCTGCCATCTTTGCTTCCCACTTCCCTTATCTCCCGCCCCAGGTTCCTTCCTGCTTCTGTCTAGTCAAATCCTTAGCTTTCCCTTGCATTTTCTATTCTAGACTCAGCTTATACTATCTCTTATCATTCTACTATAGTTCTGGCAGCCTTTAGAACAGTCATCCTGGTACCACCTTGCTCTCACTACTTTTAAAATGGCTTATTGAAAATCTCGTTGTCCATTTTGTCTTCTCAGCATGCCATTGGGAAGGCTGAACTGGCCAAATGTTGTTATGCTTCTTTGACAAGGATCAGAAAGGCAGAGTGGCTTGCTTAAGGTTGACAACGTAGTAAGAGTCAGAAGTAGAAGCCCAGCCTCCTAATCTCAGTTCAGTGGTCCAGCTAGCATTTACCATCAGGCTTATCCTTTGCTACTGTACCCTGGGAAGTGGTGGTGGACTTTGAACTTCTGTGCATTTATTTACCTTGCAACACTTACTGTTGTGGAATATTCCTGACAATAGTCCCAGACGATTGAGAACTGAGCTAAGCCAAAGTGGGGGTGGTTAGGACTAACTCTTACTGATTCACGCTGGCACTGACTGAGGCTTGATATTGTCTCAAACAACTCTCTTACTCTTGAAAAAGAGCCAAACAACACAGGGGAGGGGGGGG